TCTAGTGCCTCGAATTGGCTTTGTCACAATGCGCTAGCCTATAGGCCTATTGCATGATAATATAGGCCTATTTAAGATATATGCGTATAGTGAGTTGTGAATGAACAGATTTCAAGTTGGGATTATCGATATTAATGGCGAAGCAGTGATTGAAATAGAGAGGATTAATGTAGGTGGAAAGAGATGGAATAATAGTGAGAAGGATGGAGGAAAAGGGGAGGGAGAGGGAGGAAAGGGTAGGAAAGAGTGAAAGAGAGAAAAGGGGGGATGGGAGGGAGAAAGGTATTTGAAATGGGGAAAAGAGAACGGGAGGGAGGGATTAGAAAGACCGAGAGAAGGGGAAGAAAAGAGAGGAAGAGAAAGAGGAGAGTGAGAAGAGAGGGGAAATGGGAAAGAGAGATGAGAGAGGAAAAAGGAAAGAGGAAAGAGAGATGAGAGAAAGAAAGATAATCGGAGAGAAAGGGAAACAGAGATGTGGAGAAGCAGATGGAAAGAGAGAGAGAAAGAGAAACAGAGAGAGAAAAAAAAAGAGAAAGAGAAAGAGAAACAGAGTGAGAAAAAGATACGGAGAGAGAAAAAGATACGGAAAGAAAAAAAGATACGGAAAGAAAAAAAGAGACGGAGAGAAAAAAAGAGACGGAGAGAGAGAGAGAGAGAGAGACAGAGAGAGACAGAGAGAGAGAGAGAGAGAGAGAGAGACAGAGAGAGAGAGAGAGAGAGAGAGAGAGAGAGAGAGAGAGAGAGAGAGAGAGAGAGAGAGGAGGAGAGGAGAGAGAGAGAGAGAGAGAGAGAGAGAGAGAGGAGAAAGAGAGAGAAGAGAGAAGAGACGGAAAGAGAGAGAGAGAGAAGAGACGGAGAAGAGAGAGAGAGAGAGAGACGGAGAAAGAGAGAGAGAGGAGACGGAGAGAGAGAGAGAGAAAGAGAAAGAGAAAGAGAGAGGAGAAGAGAAAGAGAAAGAGAAAGAGAGAGAGAGAGGTAGAAAGAGAGAGAGAGAGACGGAGAGGAGAGAGAGAGGAGAGAGAGAGAGACGGGAGAGAGAGAGAGAGACGGAGAGAGAGAGAGAGACGGAGAAGAGAGAGAGAGACGGAGAGAGAGAGAGAGACGGAGAGAGAGAGAGAGAGAGAAGAGAGAGAGAGAGAGAGAGAGAGAGAGAGAGAGAGAGAGAGAGAGAGAGAGAGAGAGAAAAGAGAGAGAGAGACGAGAAAGAGAGAGAGAGAGAAAAAGAGAAGAGAGAGAGAAAAGAGAGAGAGACGAGAAGAGAGAGAGACGAGAGAAAGAGAGAGAGAGAAGAGAGAGAGAGAGAGAGAGAGGAGAGCAGAGAGAGAGAGGGAGGGAGGGAGAAAGAGAGAGAAGAGAGAGAGACGGAGAAAGAGAAAGAGAGAGAGAGAAAGAGACGGGAGAGAGAGAGACGGAGAAAGAGAGAGAGGACGGAGAGAGAGAGAGAGACGGAGAAAGAGAGAGAGACGCGAGAAAGAGGAGAGAGAGGAGAAAGAAGAGCAAAGGAGAAAGAGAGAGAGACGGAGAAAGAGAGAGAGAGCTATATGACGGAGAAAGAGAGAGAGACGGAAGAAAGAGAAGAGAGGAGGAGGAGAGAGGAGAGAGAGGAGGAGACGGAGAGAGAGACGAGAGAGAGAGAGAGAGAGAGATATAGAGAAAAAGAAAGAGAGAGAGAGATGAGAGTGACTGACATGACCCCAGACTAACGCGAATGAGAGAGAAAATCCGCTAATGCAGTAGAGACGTAATATAGCGAGAAAGACCAGAACCGGGAGAAGAATCCCGCGAAGGCGCCGCGCGTCGCGAGCGAGGACGTCCCATCCGCGGTCGTGCGTGTGGCCCCCGAGACGGCCAGGGCGTGGGAAGGGCAGATTCGGGGAGTCCCCGCGTATGTATGTATGCATGCATATATGAATGTATGTGTGTGTGAGTGAGAGAGTGAGAAAAAGAGAGAGAGAGGAGAGAGAGAGAGAGGGAGAAACGAAGAGAGAGGGAGAAAAAGAGAGAGAGAGGGAGAAAAAGAGAGAGGAAGGGAGAAAAAGAGAGAGGAAGGGAGAAGGAGAGAGAGAGAAAGGGAGAAAAGAGAGAGAGGGGAGAGAGAGAGGAAAGGAGAGGAGGGAAGGGAGAGAGAAAGAGAGGGAGAGAAAAAGCGAGAGGAAAGGGAGAAAAAGAGAGAGGGAAGGGAGATGAAGGGAGAAAAAGAGAGATGAAGGGAGAAAAAGGAGAGAAGGGAGAAAAGAGAGATGAAGGGAGAAAAAGAGATGAAGGGAGAAAAAGAGAGAATGAAGGAGAAAAAGAGAGATGAGGGAGAAAAAGAGAATGAAGGGAGAAAAAGAGAGAGAAGGGAGAAAAAAGAGAGAGGGAGAAAAAGAGAGAGAAGGGAGAGAGGAAAGGGAGAAAAAGAGAGAGGAGTGGAGAAGGAAAGGAAGGAGAAAGAGAGAGAGGAAGGGAGAAAGAGAGAGGGAAGGGAGAAGAAGAGAGGAAGGGAGAAGGGAGAGGAGGAAGGGAGAGAGGAGGAAGGGAGAAGAGAGAGAGGAGAGAGAGAGATGGGAGAGGGGCGGAGAAGGGAGAGAGAGGGAGAGAGAGGGAGAGAGAGAGAGAGAGAGAGAGAGAGAGAGAGAGAGAGGAGAGAGAGAGAGAGAGAGAGAGAGAGAGACAGAGAGGAGAGAGGAGAGAGAAGAGAGAGAGAGAGAGAGAGAGAGAGAGAGAGAGAGAGAGAGAGAGAGAGAGAGAGAGAGAGAGAGAGAGAGAGAAGAGAGAGAGAGAAAGAGAAAGAGAAAGAGAAAGAAAGAGAAGAGAAAGAGAGAAGGGGAAGGAAAGACAGTGAGAAAGTTTATTTTGGTCTGATCCTATGTAAAGAACGTCGATAACTTCATGGATTCTATTTTAAGTCGCTTTCTCCTTCCGTGAAATTAGATAAGGCGTTGCAACTGTTGTATTCGTGTGTTATCAGTTGAAATGTTCATCGCATCAGCTGTTTTTGTTATCGCCGGAAATCTGACGTGACGTGGCTTAGGTTCCGGGGAATTCTGGCATGTGAGCGCATGATATGACATGTGTCGAAAAGATGATGCATTGTGATGGACTGTCATTAATGTAAACCTCTGTTTGGTTGGTGAATGAATAAATTTTATTGTAAATGTTTACATTATTACTGATTTCCTGAATAATTTTGTGTAGTTTTTTGGTATTTCCTCCTGTTGTCATATTATCTTCAGACACAGCACTACAAAAAAACTTGATAATAAAAAGAAGCAAGAACTTCCGCCGTTCGACAAGTGAATGAGTGCGGTGAAGTAGTGATGATCCTAGACTTCCAGACGTGTTTTGTTATGATTTTGATAGTTTTTTTTCTCTCTTTCTCTTTTTGTCGATAATCTTATAATATTATTTTTTCGCAGGTATGTGTCGCAGCCTTGCCTTGCTCCGAGGACCAAGATTCTGCGAGAGTGAGTGGCCTTTTTTATGACAGTAGTAGTTGTTATTATTTTGCGAATGTTTTTTATCGTGTCTGAACAATCTTCATGTGCTCTGTCGGCTATTTTCTGCCTGAAAGTTTTGTTGTGAAGTTACTGATATTATGCGGACTATTTTAAAACGGGTGACATCGCTTTGTTGCGAAATGTGGCGGGTGACATTTTTTTATTGTTGATAAGGGGATCTGTCCGAAAACTGTATAATATGTATAAGTATATATAATATATATATATATATATATATATATATAGATAGATAGATAGATAGATAGATAGATAGATAGATAGATAGATAGATAGATAGATAGATAGATAGATAGATAGATATATAATTATAGATAGATAGATAGATAGATAGATAGATAGATAGATAGATAGATATAGATAGATAGATAATAGATAGATATAGATAGATAATATATATATATATAATATATATAATATATATATATATATATATATATATATAATATATTATATATTTATTTATTTATGAGAATGAGAAAGAGGTAGACAGAAAGACAGAGAGAGACAGAGATACAGAGAGAGAGAGAGAGACAGATAGAGACAGAGAGACAGAGAAAGAGACACAGAAATACAAGAGAAAGAGACACAGACACACAAGAGAGAGAGACACAGAGAGAGAGATAGAGACACACACAGAGACAGAGACACACAGAGAGAAAGACAGACACACACAGACACAGAGAGAAACAGAGAAACAAAGAAACAGACACAGACAGACACACACACACACACACACACAGACACAGAGACAGAGAGAAAGGGGGGGAGGCTTTAAGATAAGTAAAGAGAGAAAGAGCGAGAGTTGTTTCACATGGATGCAGGATATACGGTGTGTGCTGTTCAGCTCATAGAGCTTCGCTCCAGCCAAAAATGTTTATCACATTTATATTCTCATTTGAAAGGAACGTGCGTATGTTGGACTCCAAAAGCATGCGCGCTTGCATCCAAGCGCACGCACCTTCAGTTTCGTTCTCATAGCCTTTGAGACTCGTTCAATCTTTCCATCATTTACTCGTACTCACGCATACACACAAACATACAAACATCATGTTTTAGGAAATACATCAGATAGTGTGTCCTGTCATGACAAATGAGAGAGCAGCGGAAACGGGGCAGTCGGAGTTTGTGTGCGCACGCGCGTGTACCTCATCCCTTTTGTGATGTGTGTGCCCCTGCTTCTCTCCTCGCCTCGCGGCCGCGTTCTGTTGTGCGATATTGTGATTCAGTTGTGATTTCTTATCGCGTCCCTTGACTCTTATCGTGGAAAGCGTGGTGGGAAGGCGTGGCGGGGGCCTCAGTGTCAAGAATTGGCGTGACGGCGTGTAGCGAGCGCCGCGCCGGTGCCAGCTAGCATCATCACCAGTGCCTTTGGAACGGCAGAAGGGAGCGGGCGAATGCCATATTGAGGCGAGGTGTTTCGACGGAGGAACTTGAGTGTTGTGGGTATTGTGGGCACTGTAGGCGTTGTGAGTGCTGTGGGAACGAGTCCAGCCCGCCACGATGCCGTTCCTCTGCTGTGGATCCCAGGCGAAGGTCGACGCCGACCCTGCTGAGATTTACTTCCCGCCCAAGCAGGAAAGCGACGGACAGCAGCAGCAAAAGCAGCGCCAAGATCAGATAAAGCAGCAGGTCACGCCGCCAGAAAGCAAAGAATCCGAAAAGCCGAAAGGAGCCAAAGAGCAGATACAACAACAGGAAGAGCCTGAGCTGGCTACACCGGCGCCGGCACCGGAGGACGGCCAACCCCAGGAAGAGTCAGACCTGAAACAAGGACCCGAGATTTCAGACCCGAAGAAGCAGTCGGAGCAAGCAGAAGACCAGACACCAAGCCAAGGAGATACGAAATGCGAGAGGCATGCATCAGCAGCTCATATCGAAGCGGAAGTAGGATCTTTGCGTGAGACTGGGAAGATCAAAGATACTGGAGCAGGAAGTGAAACGATGGATACTGTGGAGGGGGCATCTGCACCTTCGGAAGGGGAAGCCGGAAAGGGAGACGCACATATCGATGCGGCAGATACCAAAGGCGATTCCGATTTTCCTTCCGAGAACGCCGAAGGAAGAAAGGGAAAGACGACGGAAAATGATGCTCGGGCGGGACACGCGGACATGGCTGTCGATGAGCAAGAATCTGAAGGGTCGTCCGCGCCCGCGACCTGCCCTTCAGGGGAAGAGGCTGCCGCGCGAAGGGAGCTCTCTGCGATGGAAGTCAACGTGCACGTGGCGGTGACTAGTGTCATTATGGAAGGAATCGAAGAGCATGTTTGCGAACTCGAGCTGCCGCCGGTGGACGGCAACATGTTCGTGGCTGTGACCACGCCATCCATTGTATCAGAATCAGTCACGTCTGTTGTGGAAAACACCAAAAACAAAGAAGAACAAATACTCTATGGGAACGAAGCGAAACAACTGCCTCAGTACACAGCAGAGCAGATGAGAGAACCGAAAGGCAATTCCTCTGGCGCAAAACAATCCGATCGCGTCGGACATTCTGAAGAAGGGGCGGAATCCCACGCAGGAGAGGCGAAGGACTCGCCGTGCGCGAGTGGCCCCGCCAGCGAGGCCGAGGAGGAGGTGGGAGAGAGCGCGACCCCAGGCCTCGAGGGGCGAGCGCGGCCAACGAGCCCAGGCGCGGGGAGCGGAGAGCATCCGTCGGGCGAACATCCTGTAACGCTTGGCGCCGGTGACGAAATGGAGCCGGTCGGGGAGCGGAGGCGGCGACGCGACCGGCGCCAGCGAAGGCCCCAGAGGAGCGCCTCGGGCGACGACGACACCTCCGACGAGGACGAGGTCGTGCCGCTCCGGAGGAAGAAGGTGAGTCTCCCTGCGCGGAAAGGCAGTTTCTGTGATGGAACACGGCCGTTCATTCTCTCTCTCCCTCCTTCCCTCCTTTCTCCTTCCCCTCCCTTCTCTCTCCCTCTTCCCCTCCATCTGTCCCTCCACCCCGTCCTCCATTCCCTCCCCCTAACACAAGCATCGACGAAGGCGGTCTGAAGAGAGCCAATGGTAAATACACCTGCCGCGTGCCTAATTACCTGCCCATCACTGTCACTCCTCATCCGCACGCCTTCTCCACACCCACTCGCGGCCGTCGTCACCTCCCTGTCGCCTCCCTCCCCCTCCCCTCCCCCTCCGATCTATCCTTGTTTGTGGGGGGTGAGATCTTAGGGGGTAAGTGTGCGCTGAGATTATGATGATTATTGGCGTTGCTGTACTTGTTTGTGCTGTCGGTAAACTGTGGTGGTGGTTTTAAACGGTGATGAGTCTTAGGATGGGTGTCGTCAACTGCATTCGTTGCGCCGCTCGGTTGGTTGTCAGTCGCCTGTTGGCTCTCCGGGGGTCACTTCCTGCCGATCGGATTTTTCCCTTTTGAATTGCTGACACTATATATAAGGTATTGTTACATCATATCTGTATATGTATATATATATATATATTATACATATATATATATATATATATATATATATATATATATATATACATACATACGTGTGTGTGTGTGTGTGTGTGTGGTGTGTGTGTGTGTGTGTGTGTGGTGTGTGTGTGTGTGTGTGTGTGTGTGTGTGCGCGCATGTGTGTGTGTGTGCGCGCGGCGTGCGTGTGCGTGTGTGTGTGTGTGTGCGCGTGTGTGTGCGCGCGTGCGTGTGTGTGTGTGTGTGTGTGTGTGTGTGTGTGTGTGTGTGGTGTGTGTGTGGTGCTCGCGTGGGTGAACATTTTTGTGCGTTAATGTGTGTGTGTGTGTATATCTGTTTGTGTCTGTATGCGTGTGTATATGCGTGCGTGTGTGCGTTTGTGCATTTTAGATTTCTGATTCATATAGTCTTCCCCGTAATTGACATCATGACTGCCTTTGAGGACGACGATATCCTCACGGATTCCCCCCCCCCACCCCCGAATGACCTTGCGCGGAATCCAGCCGGCTACTTCGCTGCTCTGAAGGGGGGGGGGGGGGGGAGGAGAGAACATAGGAAAATGGGAGGGAGAAAATGAGAGGACG